ACACTAGACAAGTCTCTTGTTAATGCTGCATAGTTTAATATTAAAAACTAGTACTCTGTTCTTCCTTGATTGACCAGTAGCACAATTTGCAGTTTGTTCACAGCCAGTCTGTGACTGCTCTTAGCAGAAGAGATGAGAACATGGCCAGCTCCAACAGCAGCTTATAGTTTAAGGTGATGTGCACAGCTGACAACTCCTAACAGCCCATGTAACAACCAGGAGTGCAGCAAAAGGAATGTTAATCTGAAGTACTCAGCCTAGGCTTAGTGGAGGAGTAGGAGGAATTAAAAACTAATTCAATTTAAAATAGTGCTTGTGTTAAGTTCTAAAGCTGTGAGATCTATTAAGCAATGTAATTGGAATTAATGCTTGAAGAGCCAAACTATTTTTAAACTCTTTTATTCAGCTGTAGTTCATCTTAACACACTTCTGAATCAGCTTCATCAATTGTTGACCTTTCCAGAAGATAAAAACAAGCTTTGCTGCTGTCATTCACCAGTTCCTAAGAAAACAGGTTGCCTGTTCTAGTCATTTCAAAGTTTTTAACCAGCAGGCTGGATGGGGCTGGGAACAACCTGGTCTGGTGGGAGGTGACCCTGCCCATGGCAGGGGAGAGCAATGAGATTTTATTTCAGGTCCATTATAACCCATATGATTCTGTAAGGTAATAAACTGTTCACCACTTAAAACTCAGTCAAAAATGAAGTCCTGGTTGTACATGCAGTTAAAATTCTAATGGTCCTGCTAATCTAAAATGCATACTTGTGTAATGAATCAAACTCCTCAGCTTTAGGATTATACACTCATGTTCACCAGCCTTTAAAACAGCAGCTTTCCCTTACAGGTTTATTTTTAAAGAGGTAGTTTGCAAAATACCTGGCCTCTCCAGTCTCCTTTGTACCAGGATTACAAAGCACGGGTTCTGCTTCCTTTCTGTGACATGGGAAGGTCACCAGGGAGGTGGCTCTGACTGTGTCAGTTCAGGCTCCTCCTGGGACAGATGGGGCCAGCCTGAGCCAGCCTCAGTCAGGGCCAGGACAGGCAGCCTCCTTCAGTGCCTCCTCCCGAGGCAGCAGTGACAGCTGCTGCACTGAGTCAGCCTGGAATTCTGTGTTCCAGGGCTCCAGACTGAATTTACTACTGCAGCTTCCTGCTGACTCAGCTCTTGGAGTCACAGGCAAGCACCAGTCAGGAAACTCCTCAGCAGTACCTTAAAGCATCAGCTGAGGCTGATCTGCCACTCCCTGGCAATAGGGAAGGACCTGATTCTCTTCATTGTGTCTTGATTTTATTCCTAAAATCACAGAATATTCTGAGTTGGAAGGGAGCCACAGGGATCATCAGGTCCAGGATCAGACCCATGAGCCTGGTGTTTTTAGCACATGCTGAAAACTCCTGAAGGGAAACTGAAGGCTGTCCTGGCTACCCCCACCCACCCTTCCACCCCTGTAATCCTTTCAGTGACAGCCACTCCCAGTTGGGTACAGGAGCTGTAACAACACTCACAGCCAGATTTACAGGGACGAGAGCAGGACCAGCTGTGTATATTTAAAAGACAAAATTGAAAGAATAAGAAGAGATAAAAGGTGCACAGCCACCTACTTGCTTATCCAAAATTTCCAAATAACTGCTTGGAGAACCTGGCAATCTAAAATCTGCTTTGAGGATCAACACTTAATTTTTCTATACCTTTTCACAACAAGCAAGTCCCAAGAAAAGCAATTTCAAGAGGCTGTAGATAGCAGTATATGCAAAGTGCTGCCCAGTGTCTTGCATGTCATGGCAAAATTTAGTAAAAGAATACCAAGATGATTATTATTGTCAGGTTATTTTCCAAATTTAATCCTTAATTTATCAGAGTATAGACTCAGCCTGTTGATGAAAATTTTATGGTAAGGAAAAAACTTACTTTCATTTCCACTGACTGCAGCTGGGGAAAGAAAAAAATTTGAACATTAGAAGGTGAGAAAAAAAATTTGCCTTTTTTTTTTTGGGAGGGGAGGGGGGTGAAAGACTAAAAAGGCAGAAGAATTCTAAATAAGCTACTTTAATACTGACATTGCCCTTTACTTTAGAAACAGAAAACCAGCAGAATTCTTTTTGATCATAGATTCAGCATTGCTACCTCTTGTCAACAAGACCCGAGAACATTAGAATAGATTTTAGCCCAGAGAAACTCATGCCAGCAGAAAAACTACTGCAACTCCCCTGTGACAGCTATTTTTGTAATCCTGCAGTTCCATGAGACAACCACACTGTATTTAACGAGTGACTGACTAATTTTAGTTACTTAAAAATTAACTAATTATACAGTAGTGCATTAGTCATCCTAATGTTTCACTAATCTAGTTTACAGTTGATAGGCTAAACAGAAACTTCCGTGACTTTTGCTACTGAGAAGTATTTACTTGTTGCTATGTCAAACAGTGGAGTTGAGAAGGGAAGAAGTCTTTAAAAAAGAAGGAAGTGGCTGCTTATGGACACACTAACCAAATGAACTAAAAATACAGTGGGACAGAAAAGCATGATTAAACTTTAATTAATGTTGAAGATAATTTTTTCCTAAATACATAGAGCTGTCTGAGGGAAATCACTTGGTGAACAAGCTCCAGAACGGCTGAAGATGGATCTGAGATTATTTAGATATGACAACTAGATCTGTTCCAGAACAAGATAAAATAATATTAAATTGCAAACAACCAAAAAGCTTATATTTAGCAGAGGCTCTGTTTTAAGTACAGGACTAGAGGGGAGAAAATCTGTCTCTGTTATAGATGCTCCCATATCCTGCAGGCTTAAACAGCATCTAAGGACAGGAGTTTGATTTAAGCCCAGACAACAACACCTGATCAGGCAGCCAACATGATGATTTGAAAGGTAGCATGCATTCCTACAGAAGTTAGGCTTGGATCCCCTTCCCTAAAATTAAAATTAGCTTTTCCAGCTGGCTTGAAAATGGTCCATTATAACTTGAGTGTAACTGAAATGTGGAAATGCTTTGCAAGGCAAACAAATGGCAGGGTGAAATCTTCTGAATTAGAGATTTGAGCAAGAGGTGATTCTAGGAGTCTCACTTGGGTTATTTCTGCCCAAAGCACTGGGGAGTTTCAGATCTAAAGATAGCAGAAAAGCAGCACTGCTTGCTTCAGGCTCCACAAGTCACCTACTTCGTCCTACTGTGGCCATTTATGGGAACACATAATACAGCAGAAAGTTAAATACCCACTTGGAAAGCATAACTCCAGTTCTTGCCATGCTGAACCACTTCATGCTCAGCTTTCAATGGTGTGTTCTTGCTCGAGACCCAAAGCACAGGGATTACAAGAACAGCAGGAAGGAAGAGTCTACAGACCAACTCATCTCAGCTCAGTCATCCCTCCACCCAAGAAGTGTTTCAGAAGTACAGATCCAACAATGACACAAGAGTAGCCTGTTCAGTAAGATGCTTCCTCCTTAAGTCTCACACATGCACTGGCTGTTAACTCAGCACCAGATGAATCACTACTCTTTAAGGCTGGATATGTCACATTCCTTGTTATAATTATTTAGTCAGCAAGTCCACATACAGCAGCTTTGCTCAAGGAAATTAAGAAGGGGACTAGGTGAACTGCAGGTGCCAAATTACAAAACAATAGTGTCTGGTTTACTTAGATCCATCTCCCTGCCTGCACCCAGGCAGATTTTAGAATATGAAAGTATATAAAAATATACATATAGAATATGAAAATATATAAAAAGTACTTGCAGAATTCAAAAAGCAAGTTTAGGCTATTGCATCAAGATAATTAATTTTATGCTACTTTAATATGGCCATAAAAGTTACTGGCTTGGATAACAGCCTCTTTACAACTGCTAGTACTGCTGATGAAATGATGGCAAGATTCTTAGAAGTAACCCATATATGAAATTTCCTGTGTGGCAGACATCCACGAGGCCATCTCCAAAAGAAATACTACTCATCTGTATTTGGTGCTGACTCTTAGAAAGGAAACATTCCAAGCAGAACGTGTCTCATGCAGATCTGAAGTATGCCAAGCATTGGGTCATTCATTTGTAACTTCTCAACACCAAAAATAGCTCGATGGCCTGAGGTTAAAGCCCCACATGCTCAGAGTGTGATGTCCATGTGGATGCAGCACTGCTTGGGATGCTCCTGCCTGTGCAGTCCCAGGCACCCTAAAGGAAAGAGATTTGGAACAACTCCAGGGCTGTTTTGCAAGTCTCTTCCTGAAGATAAAACCACAGCCCTAGAAGGGAATGCAAAACAGCAAATTCAGTAACACATCTTAGCATGACCTTAAAATGAAGTACACAGTTTAAAGGTTACAAAGAGAAAAATAGTTTTGATTGTCATGACAATTCTGACGCTCTAACAGCACCAGAAATACAGCACAGAGTCTGTTCTCTCCCCCTCATTTTTTTCTTTCAGTTGCATGTCTGTAAGACAAGGACCAGCTTTTCCTCTGCCCACCAGTTTTTCTAGTTGCATGCAGCAAGGAAGTTACTTCTACTTAAGAACTGAGAGCTATTTTGAGAAACCAACTGCTTGTAACGTTCCTTTATAGAGCATCTTGCTGCCTATTATGTCCAATTACCCAGAGTCGCAGAAAACAAGTGGTAGCAGAGTTAAGTCTTGCCTGACTGTAAATACATTCTAGTATTTTAGAACACAGGATCTACTACCAAGCTCAAATCAAGTCTCCTTTTTCCAGATGGATGCAGCCACCCCCACACAGTGCTCTTTCATCTTCATACATTGCTATTAAAGGACTCTGAAACAGTTGTTTAAAAATGGTTCTTACAAGTTGCTGTGCCAACCAAAAATGGACAACTAGAATGAAGCAGGCAGCAGCATCACACAGTTTGTAGTCCAAACACATGCATTTCTTCAGATACAGGAAAAAAACTGAAATCCCCTGAAGTCTCCCCTAAAAACAGTGTAGGAACTGCCCACTGAAGATACCATTTTAGGCAACGTGATGAAACAAGCCAATCAAGGGTTTAGAAAGAACATGGTGTGCTTTATTGCTCCATAAAATTAGATATAATTTGGTACACATACTGTCTGCATATCCAAAATCAGTCATTAGGATTCCAATTTCACCAGATTAAGAGTAGGCCCAATTATAGTGAATTCACCAAAAAACGGATGCATTCCAAACACAAACACACACCCCCAAAACCCACCCCAAGTGATGCCTAAATATTTGTAAGTTAAATTTTATCTTGTTTGTTGGGATTCTAGAAAAGCAGGAAATCTGCTCCTTTCATTACTTTCAGAAAGAACAGAGCTATTCCGTGAGACTGCATTAACAGGTGACAACAGCAGCACAGGAAGCACCAGCTACTTTAGCAGAATGTTCAAAGCTCAGTTTCAGTTCCAACCCCAGCTGCTCCCAGTCACCAAAGCCCACCAAGTGAGAGCCTATTTCCCCCAGACACTTTCCTGTGTACATCAGGAACAGAAACAAATCTGAAATGCTGTTTGAGGCAGAACTAAAGTGTAGCTAAATGTGTTTTCCATCAGTTGGTTTAACAAGAGCTGCTTCCCCCAGCCAAGTGCCTCATACCAGTGTATCCTGTTGTGCTGCTTGCAAGGACATGACAGATCACTCCCACAAATACATCTTCCATTGATCCAGAATAACAAAACCCTCTAAAAAGCCATGTCTTCTGCTCTGTCAGAGTTTTGAATGTCACACAACACAGCTCTGTTTATAGCTGTAGCTAATGAGGTGACACTACACAGGAGCACTGCAGGGAAAAGCACATCCCTGAGGTACCAACTCCAGCAAACAGCACAGTCTGGCAATTAATTAACAGCTTAAGTGTTGATGGGGCAGCCAGCTTCCTGGCCACCTGGAAATGAGCTACCTGGAATAATATCCTCCAAAAAACACAGACAAATGAAAAATAGCTTGGAAAAGATGGCTGAGCAGGAAAAAAAAATTCAGAATTTAATCACTGGCTGAACTGTAGATTCTCACCAACAGCTACTTACAGCTCAAAATATTTAATTCAAAAGACTGAAGGCATTAATACTTTTTACTTAAAAGTCAATACTGACCAACTGCAGTCTTGTCAGCTGAGGCTAAAAAGTAAATTAACCTGCAGTGATTGAAATAATTTGGACAGGCAAAAGCCCTGGAAGAAAGGCCATGTATCCACTGCCCTCACCAGCTTTCTTTTGCTGAGCAGCCAGGCTGAACAGCAGTGCTGCTGCTTCTCTTTGTGCCAGGCTGGCAGGGACACACGGACTGCAGTGTCACACACTTCAGGGATACACACAGTGCTTCTGGAGGGTTACAAGGAAGGACTGTGAATCCACAGTCCTGATCCTGCTGGATCACGTTGCTCTACACTCTGCATCTGTAACAATAAAGCATTTTAATCACCAGCTTATCAGTGCTGGCAAGCCTGAGACACCCCTGCTCTGGCAGGTGGACCATGTCCAAGGACTCACCATCAGTATTAAACTTTGTTCTTTATCTCCACAAGTATGGAAAGATGCATTTTAGTAAAAGTCTGAACTCTGCAAGCCACTTGCACAAGATTTTTCAGACACTGGTGTATGAGAACATGGCTCATAAGACCTTTATTTCCTTCTTGTACTTTTTTTTTACATGGCTAGTGCTGCAGCAAAAAGTTTTCCCAGGAAGCAGTGGGAAAAAATTAGTCTAAGATATAAACTAGCAACAGGTAGGATAAAAGGATAAACAGGGAAGATTCTTACTTCAGATTGTCCATGACAGATCACTCAAACTACTGACAAAGAAGAAGACCCTGAATCTAACAAAGGTAAAGAAATTAATCCTGCCAGAGTTAGTTGTCTGTAACAAAGTGAAACACCCATTTCAGCTCTCCAGTGTCAGCAGCAAGTCACATCTTAGCTATGGGCAGCATTAGACACCTCTTCAGTAAACATTTCCTCCCAGTGTGGCATCACAAAAGGCTGAAAAAGCGACCACACTGTTGCTACAAAGTAGATCTTAGAAGTTAAATATTTATGGAGGAGTAACTTCTATTTCAGAACCTTAATTTACTCAGAAGACTGCAGGAAGGTTCTTCAAATACAACATGCAGAGCTTCAAAGACTTTTTCTCCTAATGGTTCTCATAGCAATGAAATAAGTAATTGCCACTCCCAAACCCACATGGGTTTTGCTTTCAAGTTTTACCCTGTACATTTGATTTAGATGGGAGTTTACTAAAGCAGCAGTAATTATAAACTAGAGATTTGACTTTGTTAGGAAGAATACAGACTATTCAGAGATTCAGGTGTAAGTTTAAATGCTTTCCATTTAAGTTTATTTCAAGAACATAAAATATATTCAATCTGTTGATGGGTAACTGACTGTACTTACTAACAAAACTATTCCTTCATTCCTGTAAAAAAACCATCTTCTCTCCCCTTGAAAGATCAAAATTTTCAGAGATAAAGAATTTACATCAGGAATATGGTTTCCACCTCAGAAGCCAAGAAAAAAGGCTGCATGCTGCAGATAATTTGGAAGCCGGTTAAAAAGCACAGAGTTTAAAAAATTAGGTTTACAGTACTGGAATGCTTAATGTACTGATGCAGCCTGTACATGCACAAGATACATTTCTGGTACTAAGCACTGCTTGTGCCTGCCATGAAAAATGTTATTCAGAAACCCTGAAAGAGAACTAATGGCAGGTGGATGTAAAAATGTAATCTTTCACCTTTACTGCTGGCATCCAAAGTGTAATTTTGAAAAATATGTAAGAACACTCTCCTTCAGCAGCTCTGTGAGCAGTGCTACCCAGAACAGTAACTAAATTCTCATTTGACTTCAAGCACCTACTTCAAGTTTTGAAAGACAGGCTGATCACTTGATTGCAGGTGGTGACAGAATCCTTTGCCACATCTAAATTAAAGCTGCTGCACAGATCTTCAGCTTCCCTGCAGTGCTGTGTCGTTGTTTTGCAACACTGCGTGACTTCCCCAGGATAGCTGTAACTATCGTCACCAACATGAACTTGCAGCCCTGAGAAATAATACAAGAAACTCAGTGTATTTGTAATCAAATTCCATATCCTACATCCCTTTATTAGACAACAAAACAGAAATTAAACATCTCTATCCAGATAACACCACGTGTCAAAACATGCAGAAACTGGCTTTTGAATCTGTGCTGAAGTAAACCCTGGCAATAAGCATGTAGTCCCTAAATCAGCCAACATTTGCTACAAATATGTCAGCTATCATAAAATTCCATACCAGAAAGAATAAAAATAGCCTTTTACAACACAGCTCTTGTCCTGTCCAAACACAAGATTACCAAATCAGTCTTAAAACAAGGAACATTTTCTGTCTGGCATGAAAAGATTGCCTGACAGAGGCCACAGCTCATGGCCTAGGGAAAGCACAGCTCCATCAGCTGAGAACTGAAAGTGCTCTGGTGGTGCTGGGCTGCCAACACCACCCGCAACACGTGGGGTGGCAGCTCAGATCTGCAGCCACAGGGCACAACAAAGTCTGGACATGGTTTATTCAGGAAAATGGGGCTGCTCCTCCCTGGGATCACTGAGGCTGCTGCCAAGAGCTTGGCCAGCCGAGCACGGATCACTTTACTGGTGTTACTGGGAAAAGCAACTACAAAGTATTATTTCTGCAGAGCTGATAGAAATCCAAATTCTGAGATTTTTCTCACACAAGTATTTCTGACAGTGCTCTACATCACAAATATTTTCATCATTACTCATGTCCAGAAGATACTGCCCTGCTGCAAACATCCCCAGAGCAGATCCAAGAAATCAGCACTGAACTTCAGTGGGGAGAATGCATCAATTCAGGCTTCCTGAGGGCTGCCAGGCTTTGTGTCTTCTCCAGTGGGAACCCTCCCAAGGCAATGATTAAAATCAGCATGAAGTTATATTTGAATAATTAAATGTCCAAATAACTCAATGTCCATTTTCTGAACCCGAGGACAGGAATGCCCCAGAGCTGGGGAAAATGTAAGTAAACATTTAACAGGTTTCATTCAAGTTGGCTTGTTTTTATTCCCCTCTCTCACACACATAATTATAAAAATGAAGGAACTTAATGCTGATAGTTTAACAGCGCAGCACAATTTTCTTTGTGACCAGGAAAGGTTTGATCTTCCATTTTATAATCTAGCTATTACTGGCTGAAGGTTTTTGCTGTCAACTTCACATTTATTGGGATTTTTTCTCTTTATGCCTGCACTTTACAACTTCTTACCATGCTCCTCTGAGCAGTTTGCAATCATTTAGATAATAAAGCTTTGTGACCTTAATTTGTACAGAAATACTACAGTTCCACATAGACAGAGGATCTGCAGAAGTGTTGCCTATTTAACTACAGAAACACCAAGAGGAAGAACATTTAAAAAAGAACAATGGAAGCAGAAATAAAAGCTAAGTCTCCTGAACAACTGCAAAGTCTGACAGAGTAGCGTTGTGCTTCACTACATAGAAAGAAGCTCAGTGTTAAAATAAGATCCAATATTTTTAATGTTTCTACAGTATTTTGGCTGCAATTGTATGTATATTCTGAGTTCTTTTATCTACAAAAAAATCCAGTATGTCAAGAGCAGTATGTGATTACTGAACAGAATAAAACCATCTCACTTATCCCAGAAATCTTCTTTAGCTATGATCTGAAGGAAGCCACGTGATACATTCAACAGTTACTTGTTCTGCTGCTCTTGTAAAGAGAACGGTAAATTCCTAAATTTGCTTTTTCTTATCAAGTGCTACATGTATGGAAGACTTTGGGCAAGATTTCTGGGATAAGTATATTCTGCAACTAATACACCAAACACATTTTCAAGTGCTTAAGTGTATTATTTTTACAAATTTACTTACAGCCATCACTTAGAATTTCATGTGACCAATGACCAGTGTTGTGCTTCTGCCTTAATGCTTTTAATTGTTTTTAAATTAAGAAGTCTTTAATTTGCTCAAATGCATATCCCCGGGCAAATCTCCCATGCTGCACCCACAAGACCTTTGGTACTAACAAAGTACAGATAACCAAATACTGCTGCTTTGAACAGTGATCTAAAAAATGAAATGTTTCTATCTCACAGCATGTCTGTTTACAGAGAGATTAGATCATAAAAGGACTTACTGTGATTGTCCCACTCTAGAGCTTCTCAGTTGTTAACTCTGTGCAGTTAACACACCGGGCCATGATAAAAAGGCTCACCAAAGTGACCTTCTTTGCTCATTTCTTCCACTCATTCCCAGTTTTCCTGTAAGGGTTTGCATAGGGGGACGGGGCACAGTGCAAAGATCCAGCACAACCAGGATGGCTTCAAGTTTCAGAGCTGCTTAATATTTAGGATGAAAAATTTCAGTACCATGGAGTAATTCTTGAGTCTTGAATTTCCTATTCCAATGAAAAGATATTTAAACCAAAATTAGACTTTTTTTCCTGCCTTGCCAAAAGCACAGTCCTCTGATTGCATGACAACAGAAATCATCCTTAATCTGTGTGAGGACATTTGTGCTGTGCTGAGCTGCCCACTGGGCATTCTTAGGTACTTAAAATACCATAAAAGAACAAGTCACCTCTCCTGCTCACTGGCTAAACAGAAATAAAGTCCTTTTGCATTGGTGGGTGATGTGCCATGAGCCTCCTAATTGTCCTGGCTGTAACTGATACATCCACAGGGGCAGGAATTTTATGCTAGAAATCAGAAACAAGACTGATTAGTTCCATCACAAACTGTTATTTATTGAATGGTTCTACACTCAGTACAGAGATACAAACCATGCCTCAGGAAAGCTCACAATCCAAGCCAGGATTTCCCAACACATTCCACAGAGACATCAGAAGTTCACATTCAAATGGAATTTTGGAAGTTTTGTTAACATTTAGGTTAGACATAACATATTCTAAGTCATAGGATCAGAGAATGATTTGGGTTGGAAGGAGCCTTAAAAACATCATCCAATTCCAACCCCCCTGCCATGGCAGGGACATCTCCCACTGCCCCAGGGTGCTCCAAGCTGTGTCCAACGTGGCCTTTGACACTTCCAAGGACCCAGGGGCAGCCACAGCTGCTCTGGGCACCCTGTGCCAGGGCCCCACACCCTCATGGGCAGGAATTTCTTCCTCATATGGAAGCTCAACCTGCTCTCAGCCAGTGCAAAGCCATTCTCCCCATCCTGTCACTCCATGTCCTTGTCCAAAGTCCCTCTCCAGGTCTCTTGTAGGTTCCCTCAGATACTCTCCAGTTTATTCCCTGAATAGAATCAAAGCTCCCTCAACACTAAATGCCTCAACCTTTAGACTTTATGTAGAGATCTTCCTTCAACCATCTTGATATTTATAAGCCAGATCCAAACACCAAAATTCCAGACCTTTCCTCCATGTCTTGCCTTGCCTGCAGTCAATTCCAAACAAGTCTTGAGTGCTTTGTGCCTTATTAAACCTTCAGTGCTTACCTGCACCACACACCTCTGCTCACTGAACTCCCTAGAGGACTCTCCCATCACCTGCCACTTTCCAAAGCATCAGATTTAATTTAAAAAATAAATAAATACAAAGGCCACATTCAGAGCAGAACTTACATGGGAACTATACCTAAATTAACCATCTATTTCTGTCAAATTAACACAATGGTTCCCCCACTGTTGCTTTAGGTAACCCTGAGAGATGCCTTTGAGCTCACAGTGAGCAGTGGCAAATAGCTGCTACTGGAATAGAAACTATGGATCTGTTATTTCAGAGTAAAAAATATGCATCTACATTACCATAAGCCACAGAAAAAATTCTGTATAACATGCCAAAATGCGAAACGAAATTTAAAACATTTAGTTTTATCATAGGCTTCGGCCTATAACTCCTACTTAATAAAGTCAAAACTCCTCTCTAAGATCCAACTCTCTCAAAGGACTCCGACAGGTGCGGGTATCCCGCCTCGTAAGGCCGCACCTCCCGGACCAGACACGGCAACACCCCCACACATCTCCCAAAGAAAGCCCTCAGCCTCCTCCGCGCTGCTCATCCCTGGCCGGGCTACCCTTCCTGCAGAGGGAAACGTGGGGAAGCGCTCGAGCAGCCGGAGGCGGCCGCGCTCCGTCCCCACACGCCTCACGGGGACGATGGAGGCCGGCGGAGCCGCGCCCTCCCCGCGGGAAGGCGGCGCGGGCCGGCAGCCCCTACCTGCACCCCGGGCGTGTCTCTGCGGGGCGCTCGGGCCGCCCCGCCGGCTCCGCGCCCTCACGGCGGGCGGTCCCGGCGCCTCCATGGCGGCCGCTCCACTTCCGCCTCCGGTCGGGCCCGCTCCTGCGCCGGCGCCGCCTCAAGCGCGGCCGCCACCAAGACGCAGCGACGGGGCCATATAGCCGGGAAGAGACGCGGTGCCGCCTCCGCAGACCTCAGGATGAGCCTCCCGGCCGTTCCTTCCACCGATCCCACAGCCGCTCCCGCTTCTCCCTCTCCCCGCGGCCTAAAATGGGAAAGAGCCGCGCACAAAATGGCGCCGGCGACGCCGCGGCCGCCGCGCCTGCGCGCCGCGCGCGCCGGCCCCGCCCCCACCGCCACCGTTCCGCCCCCCGGCCCGTCCTTCTCCCTCCCTCCCGCCCGTCCCGCCCCGAGCCAATCACATCGCGCCGTTGCCTTTCCTGTCCCCGCCGCTCGCCAATCCCGTGCGCCCGGGGCCGCGCCGCGAACCAATGGGGGTGCTGTCCGCGGCGGCCCAATGCGCGCGGGGCGTCGGAGCGGCGGCCAATGGGAGCGGCCCCGCTCCCGCCGCTTGTTTATTGGGGCTCGCGCTGCGGCGCGGGGCGGGTCCGCGCGCGGGGCGGGGGGGGGAGGGGGGCGGGAGAGAAGAGCGGGGGGGGCGGAGCGGAGCGGGGGCCGCGCTCAGCCGGGGCCGCCGCCGCCGTCTGCGGAGGGGCCCGGGCGGCGCGGGGGCTGCGGAACGAGGAGTTCGCAGGTAGGAAGGGACGCGCCAGGAGGAGGAGGGAGAGAAGGAGGAAGAGGCGGCGGCGGTGGTAGTGGTGGTGGTGGAGTTGCGGCTGCCGCGCCGCCGTCCCGGGGGAGGGGACGCGAAGCGGCTCCGGGAGCTGCGCTTTAAAACACCCCCCCCCCCTCCGCTCCCCCTCCCCCGCCCTGTGGGAGCGCACGGACGCGCGCGCCGCCCCCCTCACGGAGCGGGACCCTCGGGACCGGGACCCCCCAACTCTGTCCCGGTATCCCCGGGATCGGCCCCCGCGCTCCCTGGGCCGGGGGGCTGCGACGCTGCCCCGGGGCGGCGGCGGGAGGCGTAAGTCCGGGAGGAGGAGGAGGAGGAGGAGGGGGCCCGGCGGGGCCGCGGAAAGTTGAGGCGGCTGGGGGGGCGGCGGTCCCTGAGCCCCGCGGAGCAAATGGCGACGTGACACACACCGAGCGCGGGGCCGCCCGGCGGGAAGCGGCGGCCGCGCTCCCTCGGCGCGGCCGGGACGGGCGGCGGCTCCTTCCCTCCGTCCCTCCCTCCGCCTTCCCCGGGCTCCCCCCGCCGCCCCTCGCGGGGAGCCCCGCGCTCAGCCCTCAGCCTCCCCCGCTCTTGTTTTGCAGTGTTGCCCGTGCGAGGAGAAGTCCTGGAGCTGGAATCGCTCACATAACCCTTAAAGATGAAGGTAGGCGGCTCCGGCGGGAGCGGGGATCGCCGCCCTGTTCGCCCGCCGCTCTGGAGATTTCATTTTTAATCGCTCTCCGCCCGGGCACGGCAGCAGTGGGAGAACGCGGGGCTCGGTGCGTGCTGTGAGTGCTGTTCCTGCTCCCCGGCGAGGTGCAGGTGATTTAAAGCTCTCACCGCCGTGCAGGAGCGCTCGGAACATCCTCATCGCCTCTGAGTTGTTGTTGTCCTTCGGGCTCCCGTCTTTAAACGCTTCCTGTATCAGCAGCTGCTATGGCAAGTTTGCAAAACCACAGCTTTTGTCCCGCCTTTGCTGTTGCCTGTTTGCTCAGTACAAAGGCTCAACAATTGCAGTATAATTTACAAAACTTTTCCTTTTCCCTTCAGAGTTCAATGAAATAATTAAGTTATTAAAAAAAACCCCGTACATATCTCATTTTATTTTAGATTCTGCACCCATTTCCTGTCTTTCCAGTGTTGTTATTTTGTCCTTGTTTATCAGCTGCAATAAGCACAGTAAATGAAATGCTGAGTATTAAAGTCCAGGTTAAGGAAAACGTGATTAATATTTTTCTTTAAAAATGCACTGGCAATTAAGTTTTAATAAAGGCATTCCAGGAAAGAAAAATAATTGTTAATAGCTGTTTAAAAGATTACAACAGATTTCTCTAGAGGTCTCCTTTTAGTCACCAGGAAAGATATCCTATAAATAGAATGTTTCAGACTTAATTGTAAATTGGGATGACACCAATCTCAAATGTTTTAAATAATCTGTGTCTTTGGATTGCTTATAGCTGAAAAAATACAGCTGTCTATTGCCTTTTTGCAGTTGCAGTGTTTTCCTTTTGTACAGAACCTACTTGAATTAATAGTTACTCCTTCGCTTTGTTGCTCTTTTTATAAGCAGATCAATGAATACCCTCAGAAACATTTCTGGGAGAGTCTGACAATGATTTGACAGGAGGTGTGTGTCAACATCAGTGACAAACCAAAACTTCCTGTAACTTGTTTGTTAGGGTTTTTTTTTCCCTTTTGAAGAACTCTGCAATGGCAATCCCAAGGACAGACAATTTATCAATTAAAAATCCAACAGGTCTAAAAGGTGTAAAATGAAATACATCATGATGTAGTTGTAACAATAAGTAAGAGCTAAAGTTTATTTTTGTGTTTTTGTTCCCCTCCAGGCAGCAGATGAGCCTGCCTACCTGACAGTGGGGACTGATGTCAGTGCCAAGTACCGTGGTGCCTTCTGCGAGGCAAAGATTAAGACGGTGAAAAGGCTTGTGAAAGTCAAGGTGAGAGTGCTGAGGCTGCTGCTGGTTTTGGTAAAGCCTTGTGCTGAAAGGGCTGTCACAGGAGATCCTGCTCCTGAAGATTAGAAAATGTTCATCACTTCACTGTATGAATTTTAAACAGCACTTAAATTTTTTTTTTTTTTTCATGTTTTTTGTTTGGTTTAGGATGAGGGTTTTTTGGTTGGTTTTTTTTTTTTTTTGCTTTATTCTGGGGGGAAATGTTGTTTTTTTTACTATATTTTTTAGTGGGATGATGAAACAAAAATGAGCTTTCTTGCTTCTTTTTTCCTGACTGCATTTGTCTTCTGTTTTCAAATGCGTCAGTTTCCCAGCAATAAGTTTTGATATCACAAAAACAGGATTATGGCTTTACATGAATAATAAGGAATAAGATCATCCTCTTCAGAAGCAAAAGTTCTATTTCATACCAACTGGCACTCTCACTTTTACAGTTTGGAACTGAAAAGGCAATGCAAAAACAAGTCAACAGCAAGAGAGATGGCAATCATTTGTTTCTTAGGCCAGGTTTTAGGAATGCCTAGGCTAATATTTAAGTTTTGAGCATCTTGATGCAGCTTCTAAAGCAGCATGCCCTGGCTGTAGCTGAATTTCTGTGCATGGGTACTATTGGAACATAATATTCATTCACCTTTATGGGACTTCTGGAAAAACAACCAAAAGAGAAAGTTGTAATTTTGGTGTTGTAATACTGTTATAAATGCCACTTATTGAGAATAAGAATAAAACATTGTTAAATGCAAGTTAAAATTGAAAGTAAATACAAAAGTTGTTCTTCTTTGTCTTGTCAAAGTCTTCCCACTTCCTACTTCAGTGCCTGCTGTCCAAGATATGTAAATAAGTCATTAGTGACCCAAAATCCCCTAGAAATTGAGGTGAAAGCTGCTTTTTGTAACTACATATCCAAGCTTTTGTGTGCTTTAAGACTTAGATGAAGTAGAACAAGCCATCAGCCTCTTCAGTTACATATATAGATCATATCACTTTATCAGAGTGCTTCTCATCAATAGAAAAAAATGTAATTCAGAAACTGGAGTCTTTTGCTTGTTCTTAATAAGTACTTAGGGGAACTTGTGGTGTTCTTTGAAATGTGTCTTAATGAGAAGCTCTGTAGGAAGCAGTGTGCAGGTCTGACAAGCTTGATTTTGTCTGCATCTTTGGTCTGGTAGGGTATTTAGCCTGTTAATAGGTAGGAGTTTCTTTTTCTCATTAGAATCAGATGCTTTATTACTCCACGATAAGATTTGGAATTACATGAGGCTGTTGTGACTTGGTAGAAATTCCTGTCACTGGCTCTCAATAATATTATAACAATAGAAGTTTTAACAAGCTAAGCCTGATACTGTAATTAAGAGTGTGTAGGCGCACCCTGGCACGCTTGCCAAAAGTGCAAAAAGTCCAAAATGTCTGGTAGCCTTTTCCTGAGCAGGAGGACAACCTGTATTCATCCCTCTGCAATTTTTATTTTAAATTTTGTATCAGTATAAAGTGCATTTTTAACCTGAATGTGTGTTAATACTACTGCTGTTTTGGCATGCCACTGGTGTTGTGTTTATAAATACAGCTACAGTGTAGTCTGTGCTTGGAGAATAATTGAGGGAGCCAGAAAACTGGACATCATTATCAAAGCAAGCTTCTGGAACTTTTGGTTCCTGAAAATAAATAAAAATTTTGGATTTTTTAAAAATTAAACTGCATAGGCTGGTGTTCACCGTTTCCTTGCTGTTCCCTTCTGGAATATAAAATTTTAAAGGGAGAAGCACAGTTTACTTACACTTTAACTGATCCTTATTTTCATCACATGGGTGGTGTTCCACATCTTCCCCATAAAAACTTGCTCAAGGTGGCAGAAATGCTGTTATCACAGCCAATGTGGTTATTTTTTGATACATTTTTAATAAAAAGAGGTTTTTCTTTTTGTTGTAGTTCTGTATTGAAAGTGTTGTCAGTGAAATTCTACAGTTGAATCACAGAAAAAAAACCAAAAAAAACCACTTCTCATTTGGAAGCCCAGTTCCACGTTTGCCCTGGATTGTGTCAAATTCTAAACTCACCAGAAAATGTATTTTCTTTGCTTTGGAATGACTGGTGTTTGATTTGCCCTGCTCTTTAATTATGATGTTTCAGATTAAAAAATGTGGTACTTGGGGCTTCCTGTCAGTAAAATTGGCCATGCCAGGTGTTTTCTGTTGTAACATTTGAGTCTAATTGATAATCTTAATGTGGATGATAAGGTCTTTATATATATGTGTGTATATATATATATATATATATATATGCACATTTTCTTGTGGTTTTTGTGTGCTATTAAGAAATTAGATGTGTATTGAAAAGTTCATTAATATCTTTCAGGTGGTCTTGAAGGGGGATAACTCAACTCAGTTAGTGCAAGATGACCAAGTGAAAGGACCTCTAAGAGTATGTATATTGTATGCCTTCTTTTGGTAATCACATACATTTCTAAAACTTATAGGTTGATCTTGTTTAGGTGGGTACCTGTTCTTCAGAATTGAATCAGCAGAAGGAGGCTCATCACTTTAAATCAGATGGGTTCTGA